CTCCCACCCCCAAGCGCACGTCTGGCCCACGTCCCCTCCATCCTGGGGCTGGTCCTCAGCCACGCCCCAGGCAGCCATGCCACCCCCTTTCATGTCCCATTTGCGAGTCCAGCCCCGCAGAGCTCCAGGAGAGAGTCTGGAAACAGCAGTGTGCACTCGGGTAGCATCTGGGGGAAGGGGACGCTTTAGCCACTTGGCGGGGTGCACAGCGTACAGCCGCCTTCAGGACGCACATACCGGAGAGGACAGGGCCGCACTGGAGCGCTAGGTTCGGGGGCACGCAGCACAACCTTTATTTTCTGAGCATCCAGAAATGACGTGGGCCAACGGGGACAATGGCTTTGTGTCAAGTCCATTTTCCACGCTTTGGTAAAGGAAGGGGAAGGAAGGTGTCAGGTTCCTTGTCAGGAACAGTCCGTGGTCCCCGGCGTGGGCCCTGCCGAGCGCAGCCTGAGGGGCTGGGGGTCCTGGTCCACGCTGCGGGCCCCAGGGCCGGGGTTCTGAACGGCTGTACGCCCACCCCTCCCCACCAGGCCCCACGAGCTCCCTGCTGGCCTGGTTCTCACGCAGGCTCCTTGGGAAACTGTTGAGTTTGAAAGCCTCTGGATAAAACCATGAACCAAACCTGCCCCAGGCCTGCAGTCCGGATGCGGCCTTAGTCGCCCACGTGGGGACCGTCTGTGTCTGGGCTGGCTCCCCGGGCCTCTCCACCCCGGCTGCGGCCTGTGGGGACATGTGGGGCAGAGGTCAGGCTGGGGGCTCCTGGCAGGGGCTCCTGGGACTGCGCAGGTCCTGCTCCAGGGTCACGTCGAAGACAATATCTGGGGCCCGGTCAGGCCAGCCCCACGCTGGACAAATGGACGGGTGGGCAGGGAGCACGTAGCCCAGAGCGAGACCTGGTCTGGCGACCTGGGCCGTCCGAGAAGGGTCCCAAGGGTGCCCACCCGGCCCTGCCCAGCACTCAAGCGGCCTCTTCTCTCTCTGGGTCGTGGAGACCTGGCCCCACGAGTCCTCTGCCTTTGGCAGCGCCGTGCTCCTCGGCTAATTGAGCCTGCTCTAAAGACTAATGCGGTGTGTCTGGTCACCTCCACGTGAGGCGGCTCTCGGCCCCTCGGGGCCGATAACAATTTATTTTTTTGATTCACTTAAATGAAGAAAACATTCCAGCCTGTGGCTGGCTCTCCGCCCGGGGCCCACTGCGGCTGTTCTACGGTCGCGGCCCGGCCTCCGGGAGGCTTGTTTACTCCGGCCACCGCTCTGCCTTTGTCTCCGCGTCCTACACAGGTGATTAGGGAGTCTAATTGAGTTGGCTGTAAAAAGATAATTAATCGACATTTCCTCCCAGAGAGGTCAAGCGCCGATCTCCCTGCGGCGCAGCCTCCTGTTACGAGTCCCCCACCCCAGTCCCCCGGAGGCAGCAGTGACCTTTATCTTGCGGATAATTAAAATCGACATAAAGGCTTTGGAAATAACTCCTGAGAGCTGGAGTCAGCATCTGCAGGTCGGGGCCTTGCCTCGCGGGGTGGCCAGGCTGGGGAGTGCCCCCCAGAGTGGCTGGGAGCAGCTCCAAGGGCCCCTTCAGGCCAAGGCGGGACCCTCACCCAAGAACACTGTCCCATCAGGAGCAGGAGGGGATCTTGGGACACTTGCTTCTCCTGGCGGCTCCCTCGGGGCCCGTGGGGCCCTGGTGGAGGAGAAGGATGGGGTCCCCAGAGAATCTGATGCACGGTGAGGCAGCTCTCTCACAGGGGTGGGGGCTCTGGCCAGGAGCGCAGCTGGGGGGGGGGGGGATCCGCACTGGCCTGTGCTGTGGGCAGGGCGGTGTCCCTGCAGCGTGGTCCTTTATCAGAAGGTAGTCTGACATCCCCTGGGGGGCACCTGCCTGCAGGGCGGACAGGGTGAAGAAGGGGCTGCAGGAGGGGGTGAGTGTTAGGGGTGCACGTGGCCACCCAGTGCCAGCAGGACACGGCACCTGCAACAATGCCCCAGGTCAGGGTGTAAGCAGAGGCCGGAGGGGCCAAGTGTCCAGAGGCTCGGTATGCGGCAGGGTGCTGAGCCAGGACGAGGTGCAGTGAGTAGTGGGAGTGGCTGGCGCTGGAGGTCCTGCGGCCTCAGGCCTTGGCGTGTGCTCAGGATGCAGGAGAAAGTCAGTGGGGGTCTGGAGCAGGCGGGGCCCTCCCCCGGCAGTGAATCCACGCGCTGGGAGTGAGGATGGGCCCATGATGGTGACTGTGGGGACACCAGGACTGAGGGACGCCAGTGAAGGGAGGGGCAGAATCAGGGGTGTCGCCCGCGTCTCTGGTGGGGCAAGAGTGGGGGACCTGCAGGGTAGGAATTGGGTCTGGGGGACCCGGAGCTCCGTCTGGGAGGCAGCCCATGGACATTCCTGCAAGGATCTGGGGCAGGGAATCTGACCCCGAGGAGGCCGGAGCTGGACCAACGTGGTGCTCACCTCCAAGCGCAGTAAGGCGCCCACCCAAAGGGGGTGTGGATGGGGGCGGCAGCGTTGGATGTCCAACCGCGGAGGCGGCGGGGGGCGGTCAGTTGTGGCCACTGGTGCCCAAGAGCAGTGCAGGCCCAGGCAGGGGGCACTGGGCCGAGGTTGTGGGAAACCCAGATTCTAAATTCTCCTGGTGAAGCTTTGAGCTGACAGCACCCTGAGCAGATGCAGCTTTAAGTGGATTCTCAACTCCTACGCAGCCCAAAGAGCTCCCCCATTCTGTCTCAGGGGCAGAGCAGGGTCTGCAAGCCTCTCCCAGACCTTCCATGGGGGGGCGGGGTGCACACTCTATCGGAGGCTTGTGGCCAGGCCGAGACACCACCCACCCCACAGGCGCCCTGGGCCACAGTCCTCGCACGGGCGGGTGGCAGGGCACGGCAGGCCCGGCCCGCTGGGACATCTCACATGCAGAGCAGATAGAAGCTGAGTGACTGCTTGGGTGTTCGAGCCGGGAAGCTATGGTCCAGCTGAGACGCGGAGGCAAAGGAGGCCACGGGGCCGTGTCCAAGAGGAGGGGCCGGTGTGCAGGGACCGAGCTTGGCCAGGCTAGGTTGTGCCCCGAGCACCAGAGGTGCCCATCCCTGGGAAGGTGGCAGCAGGCCTGGGCGTCACATCTGAGAGGTGGGGACAGCGGCGGGGGTGGCCGGGTGTGCGAACCCCATGTGCCAAAGGGGCCCTCATATGCAGGGAAGGGACCTCGGCGCCCTGTGGGCCCGAGCAGGCCAAATCTAGAAGACTGCCTCTCCGACGCAGACACACGTCTGCTTCGGTTAAAGGTCACTGGTGCTGCGTTTCTCTCAGTTTGGACAAGAAGGGGTCTCTGGTCCATGGGCAATGGATGGCACAGAGGGAGACCTGTGGTGGTGAGTGGGGAGGGGCGGATGGGAGACCAGGTGATGGCGGATGTCAAGCCTGTGGCTAGAAGATGCGGTTTTACTGAATCGCATTGGCTGTCCCTGTGCCGCCCCGCCCATGGGCCCTGCTGAGTTCAGTGACATTCGTGCCACCAGGCAGAGCGTGGAGGTCAGCGGGGCGGCGCCCTTGGCGCTCTGGGTCTGGCTTCTCCTCACCACGTGGATGTAATGACGGAACCTCTGCTCAGAGAGGCCCGGAGATTTCTGGGAGGATCTGCCTGCAGCGGCTTGGCTCCAAGCTGAGGGAGGGGACGTGCTCCGGGTTGGGTGTGCCAGTCCCCTCCCTGCCACCCCCCCCCGGGAAACGGCATGTTGCTGTTGGAGGTGCATCCGCAACCCACTCTTGTGCGGTCACCTGGACGGGGGTCTAGGGTACAGAGCCGGGGTCTTTACTGTCCGGAGGCAACCAGCTCCGCTCGAGCCCACTGGAAGCCGTCCATGGACGGCCATCAGCCCTGCGGCCCCCAGTCACTGCCCAGGACATAAACAGCGTGAGGGCAGCCAAAGCTAATGGTGAGAAGGGCATTGAAGAATGTCCTTGCCAAAGGACAGACTTTACTTTTTAGAATGCGCCGTAAGGATGAAATGAAGACACCTCTGAGAGAAATTATTCCCTACCTGTGATTTGGAAATACTTCTGGGGCCCGTCTGCAGAAGTCGGGCTCCAGGGAAGGGGCTTTAATGCTTACAGCCCCCGGGCCCCGTCCAGCCTCCTCCCTGAGGTTTGACCACTCCTGCTGGTGGCTTGTCCCTGACGGTGTGTGAGCGCGGGGCAGGGACCTCAGGACAGAGGTCGGTCCGGAAAGCCGGGAGCCCAGCCCCTACAGGATAGCGGGTCCTGACACATGTGTATTTGGGACAGCCCTGGTGACAACCCCATCCCAGCCGCCAGCTTCCTGTGCATGGGACGAAGGAAGGGGGCAGCCCAGTGGGACGGAGCCTGGGCAGGGGACCGCCAGAAGGAAACGCCCCATCCCCCTCACACTTTGGGGTGCCAGGAGCAGGGGAATGAAGAAAGCCAGGAGGGACAGCGTCCGCGTGGGGGTACCTGCTGCAGGGCTGAGTCCAGCCCACTGCCATTCTTAGATGCCAGAGGATTTGGGGGTCTCCTGGCGGCTGCTGCCCCTAATGGGGGCTGGTGGCTGCCAGTGGCTTCGTGTTCCATGCTCATCACGCAGCCATGAAGTAGAAATGTCCTCCTCCTGGCACACGGGGCAAGAGAGGCCCAGCCCGGCCCAGGGCAGGGCCTCTGACCTGGGGCCTGTCCAGGCCCTGTCCCAGGCACCCAGGACCCTCTCAGCCCCAAAGAATCGGCCTGCCAGGCCCTCATGGTGGGCCCCAAAATATACCGGCCTGGAGCCTGCCATGTACGCCAGGCCCTGCCCCCTGCCCGGCCACTCACCTGGAGATGGCCACACGGCCAGTGCTCTGGGCAGCAGGGCTCCAGCAGCCCGGGCCCACATGGCCGCCCGTGGCCCCAGCCGGCTCAGCTGCAGAAGCTGCACTTGGGAGAGGCCACGGGAAATGTTCTCTCCAATCTTGGCTTCGTGCTACTGCAGAGGGTCTTTCTGTTCTTCACTTCTCAGGAGAGACCTCCTCCTCTTCCTGGGGTTGTGAGCCCCACTGCCCTGAGGACTGCCGGTGTGTCAAACAAGGTTGCGCCCGATTCTCGGATGTCCGCCTTGGGCCCCCACCGCCCGGGTACAGCCCCATCCTCTTTCTCAACGGCCTCCGTGAGGTAGGGGCAGGGAGACCCCCCGCCACCCCCGCCATCGCTCAGCCTGCACGCTGCCCACCGCTGAGCCAGGGCACCCGGGAGCCCCTCTGAGCCCTCCCCCATCACTCCTTCTAGGAGGCGGGCTGTAGGCCCAGAGGCAGCCCGGGCCCCGGGAGGACGATGCCCGCCATGCAGGACCCGCCAGGAGGCAGCAGGTAGGAGAGGTTGACCGACTCGGGGCGTTTGCGGGTGTAGCCTCCCAGGTGCGTGCCCTCACAGGCAGAGGTCAGGGTGCCCCAGGGGCTGCAGGTGCTTCTGTGGCCTGGACAGCAGGAGAGGCCAGGCTTGCCGCCTCACAGGAGCCCAGCCCTGGTCCAGTCGGGCCGTGCTGGACCATGCACTCAGATAGGCCCGAGGTGGGCAGAGCAGGGCAGCCTGCTTCTTCATATAATGCCGGTGGTGGGGAAGCCACACTGGTCCTTCCTCCAGGGGCCGGCTGGGCAGAAAGGGATACTCCTCGAGTGTGCGCAGAGGCCGGGGGGGGGTGGCCCACAGGGTGAGCAGAGCATTCCTCACTGTTGCGTGCCAGGCGGCCACGGGCTCACCACATGCCAGCCACATACCTGCCACAGGCCCGGGGTCCCCACACGCCTGTCCTGCAGCAGAGCAGAGCCACTGTACAGGGCTGTGTGCCCCACTGCGGGGGCCGAGGAGACCGCCCTTGTCAGTACCATGTGGCCCGACTGAGTTCACCTCGCTCCCCCCAGGGCTCCCCGAGCAGCTGGGAGCCGCCGCCCCCCATGGTCTCCTTTGCTGCTGGGGCCTGGAGCAGAGCAGACCCAGGGCTGCGAGCAGGATGTCCTGACAATGTGGCGCGCCGACCCTGAGAAAAGTCACCTGCTCTTGAAAGACAGGAGTCCTCCCTTGGAAGACAGGGCGCACGGGGCCCAGTGTGGGCGGAGCGGGGGGCAACGTGGCCCCTCGGCAGCGGGGACGGCTGTCAGGCCTTCCCAGATGCCCACCTGCCGGCGAGGGCAGGCCTCTGACAGGTGCATGTGGTCCCATCAGCCCCAGGGGCCGTGGCGCCCGCCCCCGGGGCGCACCTCTCTCTTCACGCACCAGCCAGGGGGCTGCAGAGAGAGCCACGCTCGTGGGCAGAGGCCTGTGGGCATAGACCCGGTGATGAAACTTGAGGAAATAGAAATCCAGGAGAAGTGGGAAGAGGGCCTGTGGCATCCGCCTTGAGCCGCCACAGCCTGACGCCTTCCCGCAGTTAGATTGCTCATCGCTGACGCCGGTGGGCGTGGGCCGGGCCGGGACTCTGGAGGCTGGCACTGTGTCGGCCGGCTGACAAGCCTTTGATCCCGCTCACGCAGCAGAGCCGGGACGCGCTGTTTCCCGGGGAAGGTGCCTCCCTTGCGTGTGGCTCTGAGTCATGGTGTGTGAATTAACTCTGTGGCCCGCTCTGCACAGTAACTAGAGAAGCAGAGACGTGGGAAAAACGGCCAAGATCTGCTAAACGTGGAGACGCCGCGGCCACCCAGTGTTTCGGTGGCGGGAACGCATGTGCGGGCCAGAAGCAGACACAGGCGCACACAGCCCCGGGCTCCGGGCTCCGGGCTCCGGGCTCAGGGCTCTGGGCTCCGGGCTCCGGGCTCAGGGCTCCGGGCTCCGGGCTCCGGGCTCAGGGCTCCGGGCTCAGGGCTCCGGGCTCAGGGCTGTCACCGTGGCAACTTCAAGCAAACAGAAGGCCCTTGCTGTCTGGTCCTCCTGAGGAAAAGGACGGAGGGGTCAGTCCGACCGGGGTCCTCGTCCTGGGGGGTGGCAGTCCCAGGAAGGCACGTTTGCGTGTGGAATGCTCCGCATCTCTGTGAGTGAGCTTTGTGAGCTGGTCACGTGGCCTTGACGCATTCTTGCGCCTGTCTGAGGTTCGTGGGGGCTGCTGCCCCTTCTCCCCAGGGAGCCCGAATCTCTGGGCGGCCCAGCTGATGACTTCCACATATAAGAAGCCTGGAAAGATGGTTTTCATGGTGAGCTCCAGTGGATCCCATGACTTGGGGGCAGCACGTTTGCAGGCACAGGTCTGAGCCTTGATGTGGCTGCAGACTGCCCCACTGAGCCCCCTCCCCTGCCCCCGTCACAGGGTCTGTGTGGCACGTCACCTCTCTCAGCCCCCACCACCTCCACAGCTGCCTTCAGGGTCCCCTGCTCTGTGCCCCCAAGTCCCCCTACCCCATCTGGGTGCCTTGTGGTCCTCCGGCCCCATGCACAGGAGAGTGAGGGGGAACCTGCCCGAGGCCCCCAGCATCGGCCCCAGCACCCCCTCCCGGCTCTGCTGTGGGGACAGGGGCTGTTCTGATGTCCCCCCACCAGCCTCTGACTCTGGTTCAGGCACCAACTCCCCACACCAGCATCCAAACCTGGCTCATGACCCCCAAAGCCCACCTTTTGGAATTCTAAGAAAACCATCCTTCCTAGCAACCCAGGCTGACTCTGGCAGGTCAGAAGGCCTGGACTTCACGCTGGGTCTGGTTGGCCGTGAGGAAACCCCACCCACGTCTCAGATGTGTGGTGGCCCTCTGGACCACCCCCGGGGTCACCTCCACGTGAACGAGACAGGGTCAAGGGAACGAGATGCTCCTGACGCTCTGTGAGGCCCCAGCTGCCAGGACCCATGGGGGAGGGAGCATCTGGGAGGGGCTCTGGCAGCTTCCTGCCACAGACCAGCCCCCACCCAGCACGCAGCCACCGCCTTCCCCTCCATAGGGGGCTGAGATGCCATCTCACACACACCTTGGCCTCCCGGGAAGGCTACCACTCGGACCCCACCTTCTGTAACGGGGAGCGGGCCTGTGGTGGGGAGCAGGACCCCGTCGGCTCTCCCCCCAGGTCCCCCCACAGACTGCGTCAGGCCAACTGGGCATCCCAGCCTGGCATTCTGCATTTCTGGCTGTGGGTTTGCAGTCTGCCTCCTAGTCTAGACAGAGCCCCCTGGAGGGAGGGAAAAGTGGGGGGAAAAGGCTGGGAGGGGGCGGCCCTCCCAACCCCGTCTCCCCCTGTGGCAGCAAAGGGGCCGCACACAACACAGCCCCAGGGACGCAGAGCCAAGGGCCCTGGGACCACCCCGCCCAGACCACGGGCTCTACGCACTTCCTCTCGCCCTCCAGCGACTCCAGAGCCTCTGTCCTTTCCAACCAAGTTCCCAAAGTCTAAGAATTTCCGTGGGGCCAAGATGGGGTGTGTGCAGATGGCTTCCACACCCAGAAACCCACCACACGCTGCCCCCCTCCCAGTGGCCAGCGACCAGGGGCGCAAAGTGGTCTGTGGGTGTCGGCAGCCGGTTCAAGAACTCCCGCAGGCAGTGGGAGGGCGGCATCACTGGGCTGACGTGACTGTCCCAGCCATGCGTGCGCAGCCTTTGGCGTCTGGGTGTCAGACCCCAAGGCCGGAGAGGGTGGGAGAAGCAGTCCAGGTGGCTGCCATCCCACCTGGGGTGACCCAAGTGGGGAGCAAGGGTCTGTGGGAGCGGTCACGGGGGCTGGGCTGCAGGCCTGGGGCACGGCGCCCGCTGACACAGGCCGTCTGTCCCGCAAGAGCACCTCGGACGTACCCTCAGCCCCCTGTGGCCCCACGGACAGGAGTCACCTCTAACGTGCTCCAGGGCCCTGGGAAAGGACAGGTCTCGCTGAGCCTCCAGCCACCAGTCAGCTGTGGACCCTTGCCCGTCCCCCCCTCCCTGATGACCCCTCAAAGCCACAGTAAACCACGCGCTTGCTCATCTACTCACTTTGCCCACAGAGCAGCCCATTATTGCCATCCGGGAGGCTCACACAATAGAAATGATTGAAAAAGATTAAGAGGGACTCGCCACCCTGTAATTTTGGAGCCTGGCAGAGGTTTTAATTTACATAAGAAGGGTAGAGCGTTCCAGAGGAATCCTTTGCCTCTTGTTACAACTTCCAGGCATAATTCTCCATTATCTTCAATGTCTAAGAAGAATCACCTTTGTGCATTTTGGTGGAGGGAAGGGAGGTGAAGGGTCGGTCAGGCGCCGAGGCCACTGGGCTTCTACCCTCCAGCACACATGCTCTGACCACTTATTCTTGGGGTGTGTGCCTGCCCAGGGAAGGGGGCACTCAGGGGCAGCCAGGTGCTAAGGGGCCCAGCCCCCGGCCCACTCGGGGCCCCTCACCACACAGACCCCCACCCAGCCACACTCAGCAGAGTCCCAGGCTGGGAGGGCCCAGCGTGTGGCTGACGGGGAAGGGGCCCGCTGAGGTCCTGAGCTGGGTTCTGGGGTCCCAGAAGGGGTGTGGCCCCATCTGACTCCATTTCCCCGGGAATGGCGTGAATCGGGGCCCTGTCTTCTCCACTCTCTCAGAGCCTGGGCCCTGAGTTGCTCCCTCCTCAGGCTCAGGTGGGTCTGCTCCAGTCCCCAAGTCCCCAAGGCCAGCCGTCTCCTGCAGGGTGAGGCAGCACTGGGCGGGTCGGCAGATGGCCGCGGGAGTTGCGAATCTACTCCATCCCTGCGGCAGAGCGTGGCAGTGGCCCAGCCAGGAGCCACAAGCCTGCTTCTCTGTGCCCACGGCCTGGGGCCAGGCTCCGTCCCGAGGGCCCCGGGGGCCTGTGGCTGTGCTCCACAGGACCCCGCACCCCCGCCGAGGCTGGCACCAGGAGCCTGTCCTCTTTGGGTCCCTGCTGACCGCGGAGCGTTGCCTGGTCTGCCGCTCTTCCCCGGGAGAGCCCAGTGTCCACCGCGGGCTTCTCGCTGCGCTCCTGCGGAGACATTCCTGGCACATCACGGAGTTTCACAACATGACACAGAGGCCTGTCAGTTCCTGAGTGATGTGAGATCCTGTCAGCTGTAAAAGATGGAGTCGATTTTGGAAATGTGGCCGTGAGCTTGCCCAGCCACCCACGAGAATTCCATCAGAACAGGGCATTCGCCCTCCCCGAAACCCTAAATGTGTGCTCTGTAGTAGGACAAGGCAGCGGCGCGCGGCCCCACCCGCCGAAACGCCGCCCGTCAGCCCGGCCGTGCGTGAGGCCCCGGGGGCGACCTCACCCCTGACCGCTGTTGCCGGCTCAGCACACGGCCAGCCGGAGCCTGACGCGCGCTGGCCAGCACAGCCCCTCCCCTGCTCACTCGGAGAAAAATGGGTTTAATTAAGACTTCCGTGATTAGTCATTTAATCAGTCATCAGGCCAACACAGATGGAGCCAATTAATGTTTTTACTTGCATAGATAGTTGGGGCTGGCAGTGCATCCGCGCAGGGTCGTGCAGGTGACCGCTGAGCACCTGACGCAGGCCCCCATCCCCTGCATCCTGGGCTCCTCGCTGACCCTGCCCCGGGGACACAGGTCCACGTACCATCCCCCCTCGTCTGCCCTGGGGCCTGGGCACTGTCCTGTCCACCCTGGCTGGCCTCACCATGACCCGGAGATGCTCTGGGCAGGGCCCTCCAGGGTCGGTGGGACAGGCTCGCGGCGCCAGCCCCGGCGGGGGTGTGGGGTCCTGTGGGGCGGGCCCGGCCGGTGAAGAGCCAGGGCTGGGTGTGAGCCCGAAAGTGCAGCTTATGCGGCCAGACCTGGCCGGGGCCTGTGGAGCGCACAGAAGCAGCCTCGTGGCTCCTGGCTGGGCCCGGTCGGCAACTGTCACAGCCCCAGGCCTCCCACTGCACCACGGCCGTCTCTGGGGGCCGACTCTGGGTGTACCCCACCCTCTCCCTCCACTCTGGGACCTACACAGGGCTCAGCCCAGGAGGCTGGGGCAGGTGCTTTGAATTGAATCTCCAGTGACCCAAAGAAACCCCACAGGAGGTCCGGGGTGAAGCCCACAGGCGCCTCTGCCCCCAGGCTTCCCCCCCCGCCCCACCCCCCCCCGCCAAGCCCCTCCTGCGCAGGCAGGGCCCTCCAGCCTTGGGTATGTGCTGGCCCTCCGCTGGGTTGCAGCCTGCGTCACCAGGGAGTGTGTCAGGGGGCTCTCGGCGCGGGTCTGCTGCGGCGCTGAGGGGAGGGGCGGGTTGATCTCAGGTGGGCCCTGGGACAGCCCCCCGGGGGTGAGAGCTCCTAAGACAAGAGGGCGCCGTGTAGGGGGCTCTGGTCCCCACTGCAACCTGCCGCCCTTCCCCGGGCCACGGATCCCTCACAGAGCGGGCGCGGTCTCTGCCGCCCCATCCAGCGGCAGGCAGCCCCTCTGCGTGTGTCCATGGAAAACAGTCCTGAGACACACAGTCCCTGAGATAGGGACTGAAAGCTTCCTCGGAAACTTTAAAGATGGAGAAATGAGCCCCATTTCGTCCGAGCAGGAATAATAAACGGAAGCGGGTGTGAGGGCCAGCGGGGCAGATGAAGCAGCTGGGCTGGCGCTCGGGCCGCCCTAACCCCCCACGGCACCACAGGGCCAGAACAGTGACCACGACAGCAGACAGAGGCTGGCGGCAGGCGGGGCCTTAACCCCTCACACGCCCACTGCAGGCCACCGGCAGGCGCCCCCAGCCCCACGAGGGAGCAGGCACCCCCTGTGGGCTTTCAGGGCCCAGAGCTGATTGCCCACTGGCTACAGGGGCCCCTAAATGGTCCCTGGAGCCCCCGCCCCTCTGGCCCCCCGGGTCTAGGCTGAGATTTCCTGGAGCCTCTGGTGCATCTGCGCCCCCTCCCTCTTGGCCCTCAGCCGCTCTCCCGCACACACACGTGTGCAGGGGCCTCACTCTGAGGGGCACTGTAGCAGCGTCACCCCCAGTCCCACTGTGAGCTTGGGTGGGGACAGGCCTGCTGGGGGCCCCGCGGAGCAGACCACCCCTGGGGCCACACTGTCTGGGAGAGAAGCCAGGGCTGCCCACCGTGGCTCTCACTTGGGGCCCGCGGCCCTGAACCTCCTGCATCCCGGGGGTCCCCAGGAAGCCGCAATGCTGTCCAGCTCAGCCCCAGATCCAGGCCAGCCCTGCTCCCGCAGTTAGCTGACTGTTCTAATTTTGGAACTTTCTTATGGGCCCTCCATGGGGGCCACAGAGAGCCCTGGGGCTCACATCCCACGTGAGCAGGTCAGGAGAGCCCGGGCAGCTTCTCTGCCCGCCACACACCCTCCGGGCGGCAGTTTTCCTAATCTGTGTCTTTGACTCCATGGCTCCGCGGTTCCCTCAGCCAGCACAGCCCATTGTACAGGAGGACAGCCGTGATGCCCACAGGACCATGGGCAGAGGCCAGGATCCTGGGCCTTGACACACACTGCTCCAGAGGTGGGGGCTCTCCCCAAACCAGGATGCAGGAAAGGGTCCCTGTGCCCTCTTGCCCTGGGTGGGCCTTGGGCAGATTGGTCCCCGTGCCCCCTCCACAGCCTGAAAACCAGTGACAACAAGGGTCAGGGCCAGGCCTGACGAAGCCCTGAGACTGTTCCCCCAGCCCCCTGCCCCCCAGCCTGGTCTTCAGCCAATGGGCCTCCTCTGTCTAACCATAGGGCCACCAAGCCCAGAGCCCTGCTGGGCCCTCAGTGACCTGTGGGTGGACAGGCCCGGGTCACCTGGGCTACTGGAGACCTTTGGTTCACTCAAGGGAACCCCCTTCTCTTGCAACCCACCGTGCGCTTGGCCGTGGGGTCTTCACACACTTCACACCCTCCCCGGCCAACCACGTCCGCCTCCCTCTGTTCAGCTGCCCAGTGAAAGGACAAGTGTGCACACAGGTTCCAGCCCCACTAGGCCAGGGTCTGGCTGACTGGCCTCAGGCTTCCTCTCCAATTATGGCCATTTCTTGAGCTCTGCCAATTTGTTCTCCCCCGCACCACCACCCGGGCCTGCAGAGAAGCACTGAGGACCCACACACCCCAGACCTTGCCTGTGGCCCCCATGCCCTGCCCAGGCTGCTGTGGGCATCACCTCAGCGACAGTTCTGCTTAGGGTCAGAAGTGCTCATGGTAATTCCAGTGGGACAGAGTCCCAGGTGCCTTCTTGTGGGTCCTCATGACTTTTCAGTGCAGTCCTGAGACACACATGTCCTAGTCAAGGTCACGTGGCTCAGAAATGACATTCTCAGGGCCTGAAGAAAGGGAAAGACACGGGGTCATGGGGAGCACCAGGGCAGGCTGTGCTGAGGGGACAGCCACTGGACTGGTGAGCCACTCGGGTAGCTGAACACCTAGGAGGAACTTGCAGGGTTACCTTGTTGACCTTGGCAGGAGGCCATCCAGTTCCCCTCCTGGGGCCTTGTGGGGACTGGAAGACCCACCATGGGAAGGTGATTCCATGCTACAGATGATTCACGTGGGATCAGGCCCCACCTCACAGGGCCACAAGCAGTCAGGACAAGATGCCATTTGGGGGCCCTCGAAGGATGACCCCAAATAGCAGGGGCAGAGGCCTCATGCTCTGCCCTCCACGAGGAGCCTCAACCCTTCAGGACTGACCACAAGGACACGAGCTGGGACCATCAGGGCTCCACATCCCAGTTTGGTCTACAGATGCAGAAGCAGGCTTCTGCTTCCAGCCAGGATGAAGTGCAAGGGGCAGGATTTGCTCCCCCCTCCACACACAAACAGGTAAACAACAACCAAGTTGGACAAGAGCCGGGAAACAACAGCCAGCCTTCATGACACTTCAAGGCCCCAGCTCGCTTCCTGAGAGCATTTCCAGCTGTGGTGCAGGGAGCGGACGCAGCAGTTCCAGGGGCCCCCCAAGGGCAGAGATGGAGCTACGAGTCCTAGAAAGCCCAGGCAGCTAGAGTCTGCAGGAGGGAGCGCGGGAGAGGAAAGAGTCCTAGAGATCTGCAGAGCATGAGGAATGTGCTTGAGGCCGGGAAAACCGCAGAGAGGGTCCCAGCGAGCCCTGCCCGGAGCTCACACAGGGCGGTGGAGAGTGCTTGGTCCAGCGGTCAGCCCGGAAGACCTCCAGATTCACAGGACATCAGAAGAGTATTTAGTAGTGGGGAATAATGAACCCTATCTTGAACCCCACCTAACAAACCTTAAAAGCCAGACCCAAAAGGATCAAACCATCTCTAAGGAACTGAACAGCATCAAGAATATAAGAATACAAAGTAGCCAGTAGCCAAGAAAGTAAAGTTCACGATGTCTCACATCTGACCAAAGATTACCAGGCACACGAAGAAAGCAGGAAAGTACAACCCATAATGAGGAAAAATAAACTAATCAAAGCCAACCCAGAAATGACACAAATGGGAGAGTCAGCAGAGGGGGAGGTGAAACGTTCTGAGTGGACTGTGCATGTCCAGCAGGGACGACTGGCCATGCTCGGCAGACACGGGAGGCGTGAAGGTGTGGAATCACCCTCCGGAGCTGAAAAATGTGGGCAGGGACGGGTGGAAGGAAATGAGAGCTGTGAGCTTGCAGGCACAGCCATAGCAACCCCCCAAATGAAACCCAGAAAGAAAAGACTGAACATCATGAGCCAGACGGCTCCTGTCGGCCAACCACGTGCAGGATCAGAGGCTCCCAAGTGCCGCAGGGGAGAACGTGACAGGAGAAACAAAGAAATGGCCGGAATGTGTTCAAACTTCATGAAAAATATAAACCTGTAGATTCAAGACACAAGGAACCCCAAGCACAGGAAGCTTGAGGACAATGAGGACACCAGCTGCAGATCAAGAGAAAGCACAGGACACAGCGCGGGCCCCGGCCATTCCAGCTCCCAGCACCAGCCCCCTGCCCGCCCACCGCGAGCTCCCAAGTCTGCCCAGGAGGCCTGTCCCCTCTCCCTGCTCTGATCGCCCTTGAACCCAGGAGGCTCCGCCCGGTGCTGTGTACACAGTCTGTGCCCAGAACAGGGTTCCTGCCACCCAGGGCTCCGGCTGCACCCTCAGCCGCCCACCTCTCGGACGTGCCTCCCAGGTCTCCTAGGGCACCATGCCCTCACCCCGCGCGGCTTGGAGAGCCATCCCGCTAACGGGCGCCTCCGGCCTCACCTCACACCAAGGCTCCCCAGCTCCTTCCTGGCTCTGCCTCTGCCTTCTCGAAGCCCTGGGGGTTCTGTAAAAACTCTCAGGATTCTTGTAACCCCGTCTATTTCTCTTGAAGCTGGCAGGCTGACAGACTCTGGTTATTCTTAGTGCTGAATTATTTATCTGCATTCCCCTCCTCACCCACACTTCAGAATTTGTAACGTGGCTCCTGGGTCCAAGCCAAGGCCCATTTTCCCCCACTTGAAATGAAGTAATTTTAAAATCTTTTGTCTTTAATTTTTTATCACCCAAACCATGCCTGTGGTAATTAAGCTTGGCACGGGGTCGGAGCCTGGCGAGTCGCCGAGCTGATGCCAGGGAGCCCCCGGCCTCCAGCCCCGCCCCCACCCCCACCGCCTCTGATGACAGGAAACCAACAGCCACGGAGGGCAGGGGTGGGAGGAGTCCCCCAGCCCCCCCTCCAAGTCCCATTGGAGAGATAATTCAGGGCAAAGCCCAGCCCGCCATACTCGGGGCCTCCGTCCCACCAGGAAAGTGCGTCCAGCAGCTGGAGGACGCAGGTGGGCGTCCACACTGCGCCGCCTCCCTGCTCCCAAGGTGGTGGGAGGAGGCTGAGGGCCTGACCCAGGGCAGAAGCTGACGACATGCGCCAGGCGTCCTCACCGGCACACGGCGCGTCCTCCTGGGCAGGTGACCGCCCCTGCGGGCAGGCGGAGCGGGCACATCACGGCGCACCACGGAGAGGAGAACCTCCGGTCGGGTCAGAGCCCTCAGCCTCAGGCTTGACTGAGCTGCCTCGGGCTGCCCACCAGGGCCCTCTTGTGGCCGCCGTGGCCAGAAGTGAGGGTCTCTGTCCCTCAGACTTGGGGCCAGGCCTGGGCCCGCCCCTCCTGTCTCTGCCTGCTACTTTGTCCCTTCCCGTGAGTCTCCCAGGTAACAAGGACCTTCGGTCCTTCTGAGGGGGACCCAAGGGGACACACCAGTGCCCCCCACGGCCCCACCTCCCACGGAGCCCAGCTGCCACTGGAATATAAATGCCAAACGCAGTGGACCCGGCGCATCGGCCCTTTCCTGAGCGGCTGCTCTGCCCGGCGTTGTGCGGCCTCGGTGCCCCCAAAAGCCACACCTGGTTGTGCACGCGGCGGCCCCAGCTGTGGAAGCAGGGGCGAGCTTGTGAGGCTCGGGCTCCAGCGTCTGTCCACGGGCATGTTTGGGTGTAGACAGGAAGGCACCGGCCGGGGGGCGGGGGGCAGAGAGCTGTCCAGAGGGGATTGCGCACGCTGCACTCGGAAGGCGGGGGTGAGGCCTCCGAGGACCCGAAGGGTGCAGCTGAGCCCACGGGGGGCCAGGACCGCGGCGGCTCTGCTGTCCTCGGGGCCACAGTCTTCCAGGGCCTTCCTCCTCTTCTCCCTGCAGGCCTGACGGCGCAGCCACGACCGAGCCGGCGGCAGCAGCCTTCCCAGGTAGGTGGCCGGGAGGAGGACTCAGTCGAACGGGCCAAGGCCACCGGCCACCCCACAGCCCACATGTGTCATAGTTGTGGACCCTTTGGAAAAACCCCCTTCCCTGAACGCACCCCTAAATTCAACACTCATCGTGCCTGGGGCAGCTCCCAGCCTGGCCGCCCGCCACACACCACCCCAGGCACCCCCAGAGGCACCAGAGCTGGGGGGGACATGGATGGGCCCAGGGCTGCCACAAGACCCTCTCCAGCCTCCGTCCCTTCAGAGGGCTGCGGGCAACGAGGCAGGGCGTGGTGAGGGGCGCTTGCCCACCCTGGCTGCCCCTCTGTCCCCATGGGCAAAGTGCATGTCCCTGGTCCCTTGTGTCCCCAGGCCTGACTGGACGGCTGGCAGGCCTCCAGGTCTGGCCCCCCCCCCGCGACCCCGCCTGTATTTGGGAGTGTTAGCAGGGCCTCCGGGCCCTGAGCCCACCTTGTGCAGGAGGAGGGCTGGGTCCCGGGCGGCGCCCCCCACGTGCCCCTTTGGGCTGGCACTGGGAGCCCCAGCAGCAGCCACACGAGTCTGCCCTTCAGGCCCCTGGGACCCTCATGTGCGCCCCAGGGGAGGGGTCCAGGGTGGGCAGAGGGGACGCCCCGCACTGAGCTGGGAGGGGCCGATGGGGGATTGGCTGGAGGAGGGCCAGGCCCTGAGGAGCAGCAATTTCCAGACCACGAGGGGCAAAGCCAGCGGGTGGCCAAGTCCCTGAGATGTGGGCCGCGCCGTCTCTGTGGGGACGCCGGGCACCAGGCCCGCGGCCAGACCGTGTGGGCCGGGCCTTGGGTGGCCACCAGCCAGACCCTCTCCCGGCCTCTGGGAGAAGAGCATCAGGAGCGAGGTCAGACGAGGGCTGGGCTGGGTTCTGCGGCCGCTGCCCACTGCGCCCTGCTCCTCAGCCGGCGCCACTGACCACAGGCTGGGGGGCTGTGTTCCTGGGAACACCTAGAAACCCGCGCTGCTTGGAAACACCGTGGCGTTGCCATGCGCGGCGTCTCCTCCAGGCCGGCCAGGGAGGCCTGGTGCCCCGGGGCTGTGGAATGTGGGCCCCCTCCCAGGCCCCCCGAGTTGCTGAAGGAACTGACTCAGAGCCCAGCAAATTCCTGCCGCCGAGGCCCTTTCTCATCCTGCCCCAGGAACACGCGGTGTCCGCAGGGCGCAGCGGGGAGAGGGCCTGCTTTCCAGACCGGGGCACTGGAATGTTCTCTCTGACGGTGTGAGCCGACTCCTGCGCCCCATCTCAGCTGCGGCCGCATTCCTGGTGTGAGCCCGGGCCAGCCCAGCGAGCTTTTTCCACGCTCCGGTGCCAGCCCCCTTGGGCTCGGGGGAGGGGAGAGGACGGTTTCTATGGCAACCGCACTTTCTGTTATTTCTTATTTTCTTTTTTACGGTTTCTCCAACTTTGAAGCTCTGCAGACAGTTTACAGACTGCAAGAGGGAAAGTACTTCTTCTCCCGAGCACACCGGAGGGCGGCCCTCCTGCCCCAGCCCACAGCCGGCCAGGCGGCCACGTTTTCGGAAGCTTCATTGTTTAAAAAAAACATTTTAGAGGAAACGAATTCTCTTTCTCCTAAAAAGATAGGGAATATTTTCAAAAGAATCCTTGCACTCAGCCGTGCAGCCCCATCAGCCGTGAGGGGCTCTCCGTGCCCCCGGGTCCCAGGATCACCGGCCGAGGAGAAGGCCTGGAGCCCCCATCGGGGCACTGAGGCAGGGTCCCAGGGTCCCAGGCAGGGTGTGCGGGTGGACAGAAGCCGAGGCCGGAGAGAGGCAGGGGCAGGAGCCTGGGCCGTCGGGGGCCCCTGGGGGCCGCGTCTGAGCGCCTGTCTTTTGCAGGGGAGTATGTCATCATGATCCGCGATGTGACCGACCCTCCCTTCCTGGGCCACACGCTGCCCACCGCCTTCAAACACCTTCGGGTCTTGGGGAAGGGGACGGACCAGCAGCCCCACTTCCCTGGAGAAGGCCCCGAGTCCCCGAGCTAGGGGAGCCACCCCCACGCACCTGACAGCCACCAGTGTCCCCCTCGGGAGACCATCCTCACTTCGAATGGAAGACGTCCCCTCTGCTCGGCGGGGCACCTTCCTGCACTTCTGCAGTGGGACTGAATGGGGGCTGGAGGGCCACCTTCACGCATCCCGTGGCTTCAATAAAACGCTCAACACCGACTCCTGAGAGGCGCCTGACGCAGACAGCAAGCCCCTTCCCACACAGCCAGGCCCCCCGCTGGCTGGCACCTCCAGTCCCCAGGGGGAGCCCAGGCCAAGCTGGGGAGGGGGCGATGCCCCCCCGCCCAGGCCCCCAGAGTCTGGCAGTGAAGCCGGCCCTACTGTCCGAGCCAGCACTGCCTCCCGCCCATGATCCCGGCCTTGGAGGGTGGCTCAGCACCCCCTCCCCGCAGGCAGCCCGGGGACATGGGAACCCGCGGCCAAATGAGAAATCAAGAGGCAGCAGCAGGTGATTGGTTTTCTGGAAATGAGTTTCGTGTCTGGGGGACACTTCTTGGATTTTACAGCTGCCTCTGAAACCCACCCAGGGCCTGGGAGCAGGGCAGGCAGGGGAACAGGAAGACTCGGGGAGGCTGTGGCAGGCTGACAGGGAAGGGCGGGTGGCGGGGCCTCCTTCGGCCTCCACTGAGCAGGCCAGAGCCAGGATCCAAGGCCTCCGCCCGGCTCCACCTTCCATGGCCCCTGGGGCTCAGCCTGTGCCCACCCTGCACTGGCTGGAGCTAGGCTGGGCCCATGCTCGAAGCCCACCACACTTCTCCATCATTCTCCGAGGAATGAGGAACAGGGAGGGAGCACCCAGCCCCCGCCGCGACAAGCACACTGCTGCTTCCCATCCCGGGGAACCTACAGACCCCGCGCCCCTCCATCCAGCACCCACTTCCCTCCTACACTTGCATCTGCACTCTGCCCCCCACCCTCCAGGATAGGGCCCCCCCCACCCCACCCTCAGGGCACCACACACTGTCCCCACACCCACACAGTGGCTGCTCCCTCAGCTGCCTGATGGCCCCGCGCTGGGGCCCCCCCCACCCTGCAGTCTTCGTTGTTCAGGCACAAATGTTTGGCTTCTGCCTCTGCTTCGCTCCTGCCCTGTAGTCCATGGCAAGTCTTGTCCATCCTACTTCAAAGTGCATCCCCAGCCGACTCCATCCACCCACACCCTGCAGCTCCTGCACACAGCAGTGCTGTCAGGGCTCACCCCCCAAGTCTGTGTCAGGACCTCCAGGCCGACCAGAGCTGGTCCCACACTCGCTGCCCTCACCTCCTGCTGCTCCCCCTGGCTCTCTGCATCCCACTCACACCGGCCCCTACAGCTCCTCTGTCCTGCCAGGCATATTTCTGCCTCAGGGCCTTTGCATATGCTCTTCACTCTGCCTACACTGCTCGTCTCCCAGATGCCACCTTCTCATGAGGCCTTCCTTGGCCACCAGCTCTGAAGCCTCACCCCACCTCCAGCAAACACTCCCTGCTCCCTCCCCAACTCACATCCTCTGCAAGTGAAGGTGCACTTCACTTGTCTGGTTTGCAACCTCCAAAGGGAGGCGTTTGGTCAGTTTTGTTCACTTGCATAACCTCAGCATCTAGCACAGTGCGTGACCCTTAGGAGGCCCTTGGCAAATATTTGTTGAATGAATGTGTGAATGTGGAGCACCTACTCTGTGCCAGGCAGAATGGGAGGCACTGGAGACAAATTGGGCAGAGGAGGTGTGCGGGGAGACGGGTAGCAGAATAACTGGAAGGAGGGCTAGGTGGATGGATGGATGGATGGATGGATGGATGGACGGACAGTGGATGGGTGGATGGCTGGACAGATGGTTGGATGGATGGACAGATGGGTGGTTGGGTAGATGGTTGGATGGGTGGATGGATGGACGGACGGACAGTGGATAGTTGGATGGATGGACAGATGAGTGGTTGGATGGGTGGATGGATGGATGGATGGATGGACAGTGGATGGGTGAATGGATGGACGGATGGTTGGGTAGATGGACAGATGGATGGTTGGGTGGATGGTTGGATGGGTGGATGGACAGATGGACGGTTGGGTGGATGAATGGATGGGAGTGTGGATAAACGGAGGGATGAGTGCATGCATGGACAGACAGATGACGGATGGGTGGTCCGGTGGGAGCGTGGTGGGGGATGGATGTACTTATGGATGGATGGAGCGGAGGTTCGCTTGTCGTTAGGTGGTAGGCTCACATGGAATAGTTGTGCTCTTACTAAAGGCAAGAAGTGGCAGAGGAGGGAAGGATCCCTACGTCAAAACCAACCCAAAGCCAGAGAGCCTTTCTCGTCACGCCCCCGGCAGCCAACCCCTCCCTTTGCCCTTCCTGCTCTCCCCTAATCGGTGTCCCAAGCAGTGTTGCCTCAACAGGACTGAAGCAGTCCATGGCTGGCAGACTGGTCAGCCCAGTTGGTCCTCCCCCTGCTCAGTCCCGGCCTCCGGAGCTGTTGGAGCAGACGCTGGAGAGCCAGCTTTGACCACAGCGGCAGGCGACCGGGAGACACAGGAGCCAGCAAGGGAAAGGGGCTTCCGAACCTCCATGACCGGGGAATTGAGGTAATTCTGAGCCTGACGTGTGGGGAGCAAGCTGCATCCGCCAGCCTTCTGGTTCCAAGAGCTCGGGTGGCCATAGATGCTGCCAGCCTGGTTCAGCCGGGCTTCTGCCTCTGACTGGCCCTTAGGAAGGGACAGACTGCCGGTGTCCCCAGCAGTGAGTCCCCAGAAAGTTTCCATTCCCGGGACCCACGGACTCCTGGGTCAGAGTGCCTGGGCCCTAGGGGCTGCGCCCTGCCCAAAGTGCAGGGATGCAGATGGGGGCTGCACCCACACGCGTCTGCATCAACATGGGTGCCGAGCCCCGCGTGGACAACCAGGGGTCAGCTGGGCCACACACTCTAGAGTCCCCCAGCTTTGTCTGGGCTTCACCGTCCGCCGGGGTCTGCCCCTGAGGCTCGGCAACTTGCTCTGCGGCTCTTTCCTCTCTTCTAGATGAAGCCACACTTCTGTCAAAAGAAAAACAATGAAAATGATGTTTGAGTTTAGGAAGAAAAATGTGCTGGGCATAGAAGCTACTGCTGTGTTTGCCAGCTTGTCCGGGGGATCCTTCGGTATTTCTTTCCAGATCAGCACCAGAGGTTCGGTCACAAAACCCAGGACGCAAGTTCAGAGTCCACGCCCTGAGCAGACTGAGGCCCCCGGAGCCCTGGACAGGGGGGAGGCGGGGGGGGGTTCTGTCCCCTCAGCGCCTTCGCAGACATGGAGCGAAGCCAGCTCTGCAGGCCTGCAGACACTTGGCCTGTGAAACCTGCTACCTTCCGGTCGTCTGAGCAAACCCGAGAGCAAGCTCTCCCCACCGTCACCCCCCACCAGCTTCCTGGCGGGGCGGCTGAGGGCCCGTGGGCAGGGGCCACTCGGCGAGGCCTGGGGAGAGCTCAGCCCCTGTGGACTCGTGTTTGAGCAGGACGGGGGTTCCCTGGTCCGTCCCACTGCGCCCCCGACCCCGCCTGCTGGGGCGCCAGGCTGAGGGCACCTCTGAGCCAGTGACTAGCAGCCCTTCTCGGGGCTTTGCCCTGGGACTGGCAGGCACGTCCGCCAACGGCACAGGCATATGCTGGGTGGACACCAGGGGCAGCTGCTCTCACCCTGACCTGACCCCTGTGCTCGCACCGTGTCCCACAGACAAATCCACAAGAAATTTGAATTCTCAAGGTAAAAGAGAAGAGGGAGGGTCCGCAGAGGCCTGGCCGCAGACACTGGTCTGGCCGTCAGACCCGCCCGGGGCCGGGCCCTCTGGGGCAGCACGGCGCACGTGGCGACCCGCCCTGGGGTAAGGTGGAGCCGGGGTGGGGGACTGGGGGAGCACCCCCCAAGTCAGGGCAGGGCAGCATCGGTGCTGTCCCAGCGGGCTGGGAGGCTGGGGGGCGGGGAGATGACCGAGTGGCCATCTGACAGCCTCCTCAGGCCCTCCCCAGAGACCCCAAGGGCCTTCTCCTTCCAGGACGGCAGGCTTCTCCCAAGTCTTGCTGGGAACCGGCAGGGAGGCAGGGGCTGGTAGAGGGGGTGGCGGGAGGCGGCCCCAACATGCTTCACACTCCAAGAAGCAACCCAGCCCCCAGGAGGCTTGGGGAGGAGGCTCTGGTCCCAGCAGTATCTAGCGTGCAACCGAAAGCCGCTTCTCCTGGCCAGTCTCTCCGTGGTGGTCTCCCCTCCGGCCGTGCACTTGCTCGGCAGACGTTGGCAGGGTGCTAACCCCACACTGAGCACCTGGCCAGGCTCGGCCTCGAAGAGAACATATTCGTTCTTCATGAGGAGTTCTCCAGCCAGAGTCCAGAGAGCCAGAGAGCTCAGAGATCGGGGAGACAGAGAGCTCAGATGCCCGTCTCTCTGCGTGGCCCACCTCCCAGCAGGGCCTTGGCAAGCGCGAAGTCTCAGACACCCCTCACCTGGCGTCCGGCACAGACAGCTCACCCAGCTTCCTCTCCCGCTGGCCGGCCAGTCACCAGGATGCTCCTGGGGGAGGCCTCCCCTCCGCAAAGCCTGGCCAGGCCACGCGGTCTCGGTGCCAGGAGGGTGGCAAGGCCAAGTGTGGAGCCCCTCCTCCCGGGCAGGGCTGCCTGAGGGGTTCCTGTGCGCCCTGGCTCAGTCTGCCAGCCACCTGCCTGCCCCAGGAGGCCCCCAGCACCCCGGGGTTCCTTAGCCCTGGGCAGGTGTTAGTGGAGTCACCAGGCCTGCTTTAGCAAGACCACGTCGGGGCGGGCAGCCCTCAGCGCCGGCAACCATCACAGCTGCGTGGGGTCCCGTCTGCTTCCTGACCCTGTCCCCTCAAGGCAGGGCACAGCCACTGAGAGCCCGCCCACAGCTTCTCTGACAGAAAAGACTGGGCCACAGCGGGCACAGGACCCCTTGGGAGTCAGATGGGGGGCCTGAGCAGGTGGGGAGGAGCTGCTCTGGGTCCCCTGCCCATCAGGTAAGCTGGGGGCCCCACAGCCTCAGGCCAGGGACTGCTGTGGTCCTCCCGCAAGCCTAGGGGGTAACCAGGGGGAGGAAGTGGGCCAGGAAGCAACCCGCGCTGGCCGAACCTACCCCAGCCTGGGCTCCTCTCGGCACGAGGCCCTGGGTGTCGAGGAGCAGGCAGGCTGT